GGTACGCCCCAGGTGCATCCTCTTACACTTCGTGACATTGAATCTCAGCAGCCATTTCTTCGACCAATCCTAGAGCCCACAGAGGTCCTTCTGCAGCTCTTCACAGTCCGCTTGGTTCTTAATTTCCAGAAATAACTTGGCGTCATCGGCAAACATTTGTATGGAGGAGTGTACAACGTCAGGCATGTCATTTATGAAACAAACAAACAACAGCGGGCCCAATCCACTGCCCTGTGGTACCCCACTTGTGACAGGTACAGATGACGATTTCGTGCCGTTAATCACCACACACTGCTTGCGGTCATGTAGAAAGTCTTCTATCCACGCTAGGACATTTCCCCGAATTCCGTACCCTTCCAGTTTGATTTTCAGCCATTCGTGGGGTACACTGTCGAAAGCCTTGGCAAAATCTAGGTAAATATTGTCGATATTACCACCCCGTTCCAGAATATGGGTCCAAATATCCAATACCTTGGGCAATTGTGTTAAGCAGGAGCGCCCCGGCATAAAACCGTGTTGGCAATCTTTTACAAGGTTGTTTCGTATTAAATGTTCCATTGCGGCATCTCTGATAATACTCTCAAGTACTTTACATATTATGCTGGTCAGGCTCACCGGTCTAGAGTTGTTTGTGGAGTGACGATCGCCCTTCTTGAAGAAAGGTCTCACATAAGCCACCTTCCATTCACTGGGGACCATTTGTTCATCCAGGCATTTACAAAACAGGATCTTCAGGGGCTCTGCAAGCTCGTTGCACAACTCTCTTAGCACTCTAGGATGCACCATGTCAGGTCCGGGACTCTTATGGACCTTTAGCCTGGACAGTTTATTTCTAATACCCTCTTCTGTGAACACAATGTGGGTCAGTGCTGTGTCGAACCGTCTGTCCCCAAACGCAGGAAGGTTAGTTGCATCCTCTCTTGTGAACACCGAGGATAAGAAGCTTTTATATGCCTCAGCTTTATCCTGGTCAGAGTCTGCGTAACTGCCATCCACTAGCCTCAGGTCTGATACTCCTACTCGCGTTTTCAATTTCGACTTTGCATAGCGGTAAAACGCCTTTGGGTTTGACTTGACCTCGCTTGCAACCAGCCTCTGGAACGCCTTTTCAGCACCTCCTACACTCTATCTTTGCTTGGTTTCTGGCTCTTGCATACATCCTCCTGTCTTGCTCATCGTTTGACCCAACCCACGTCTTGAATTTCTGGGTTTTCTTCTTAACTTTGTCGACCGCCGCCTGGTTCATTTGTAGGGATCCCCTCGTATTCCTAGAAGCACTGGGTTTGGTCTTGGGTATATATTTATCGATCAAATGGGTCACTTTACTAGTTATGATATTCAGCTTAGTGTCTGCGTTGTTGTACCTTAATGAGTCAGGCCAGTTGATACCCCTCATCTCTTCCCTCATCCCATTGTAATTTCCCTTGTAATATTTGCACCTTGCCCTGGCCTTATCCTGAACTAGGTAACAGTTAAATCTGAATGACAACACTATATGGTGACTGGTGCCAACTGGGGCAAGGTGTTCCAGTTTGGCCACCATACCCTCCTCGTTTGTTATGATGAGGTCAAGTGGCTTGGGTGTTTGCTCCCCTCTGTAATGTGTCGGGTCTCTAACATGTTGGAACATAAAATTATCTCTCAGAGTTTCTACGAAAAGAATAGCAGGGTTATTCAAGTCATTCGGGGTGGACTCGTTTCTCCAGTCGATGTCGTCATAGTTAAAGTCCCCCATGATAAGGTGGTGGCTAGGGTTGAGCATCGCCGCGTTGTTTATTAAGGTTCGTAAGTTCCTTTGAATTAGTGGGCCACAGTTTGGGGATCTGTAGATACACACGACGATAAGTAAGTCCCCTCCCTTTAATTTAATTTTACACCACTTGGACTCTTCAAAAACATCCTCTCCCTGTACCCTCGCCTGGCTGTCTCTAAGGTCTTGCCTAGCATAGATAACCACACCCCTCTTGCAAGTTTCTTGAGAAAGGTTCGTAAATGAGTCATATCCGGCAATACTGAATTCACATTCCTCTGGGTCGATTCTCCTGTTCTTGTACAACAGTTCTACAACACTTACAATATCTGGTTGGTGTACTCTTAGTAGTGTCTCAAACTCCTCTCTCTTATCAAGGAACGTGTCAGTATTAGTGTACATGACATTCAAGCCAGAATTTGTTCTCGGTAACGTCTCTGCTCTTAGTAATAAACCCGCTCCCCCACATTCTCAGAAGCTGCAGCATTTGCTAAGTACACTGTATTTTGCAGGGTGTGGTTAGAAATGTCATTGTTTACACGGCGCTCGCCCCTCCTGTCCGGTAGGCTGAGCTGGTGCCGCCTCCCGGGTGGGGGGTTGAGTGGGTGGAGGGTGCACTGCTGCCCCCTGGCCCTGTGTCGGCACACTTGTTTCCACTACCCTCCCCCTGAGTATAACCCATGTACACCTGTCCCCGTTCCTCCTCGACTCCTCCCTCTTCTGCTTCAAGTCCTGCAGGAGCTTCTTGTGCTGTTCCCTCTGCATTACCGTGCGGTCTGGGTGAATGAATACATCCCGAAATGCCTCGCTCCTTGCTAAGTTTTTTGCCTGCCGAATAACTTGCCATTTCTCCTCCTCACTCACTAGTGTGATCCTGAGGGGGCGAGGCTTAGCCCCCTGCTTTTGTCCCAGCCTCCTCACATCCTGAGGGGTTGATGGAATCTTCAGAACCTCTGTACAAATATTTTGAAACTGCATCTTATCGTGTGTTACTTTACTCACAGTTCCCTCCGCCTGGCTCTCTGGGACTCCAAAAACTATCACATTGTTCCTGCGCTGGAGCCGTTCCTGGTGTTCCTCCTCTCCCCTAACAGTAGGTCCGTTAATTTTCATTTCTTCGACACACTTCTTCAGAGTCCCAAGCTGCTGTAGAACCTGTTCTGACCCTGCATTACTCTCCGCCCCCTCTCGTGGCCCTGCTAATATGTCAGCATAACTCCTCTTAGCAACCACCTCCATTCTATCGGCTACTTCCTCAGTCTTAGCAAGGATCTCTTTCCCAACTTGCTCCAGTTTGTCAACCAGCAGGGCTCCTGCTTCATCTATTTTCATCACAAGAGAACTCGTTCCCTTATGGCTTGCAATCGCTTCATTCAACTTGCCTATGCAGCCAGGGCAATACCAGCAACAGCCATCAAGCTTTACGGCAGTTAGTAACTTCCTAAACGTTGCATTAGTCAGGCGTGTATCCTCCATATGCGACGTCTCCCTGCAGTAATCACATATCAAACTCATGGGTGTTGTTGAAGTGGGGGTAGGGGGGGTGCAGACTATGTATAGATATACACCTATTTAAAATAAGTAAAGAGAGAAAAAGAACAGTACTTAGCTACTCTCTGTTGCCTATAGAGTTGTCGTCTGCGACTGCGTACACTGTATCTCCCTGTGAATGGTGTATTGTAGGCACAGTTTCAGTCCTTAAGAAAGCACACAAACAAAATAAAATTTAAAGTCTCTGTGGCATCTATGACACGAATAGGCTGGCAGTGGTCCTTATCAGCTTGCTTGCCAATATGTATTCACTTTAAGTTATTTACAGTCTCTTCTGCGGTCACCGATGACACTATGAACTGATTTACCTAAAATCACAGTACTACACTCCCTGGTTGGCCTTTATCACAGCCGTGACCACAACTCCTTAAAAAAAATAAAATAAAATAAAAGCTTTGTCATATGGCAGTGATTTTGTGGTTATAGGCCTCGTGACCTGGGCTGTACCTCCAACTCGGTGGAAATTGAGTTTTCAAAAATACAATCGCGTCTAGCATTAAAAGTCCTACATCGATTTAGACTTTCACATCATTAAGACGATCTTGATGATCTTATGTAATCACTGTCCAATTTCTGCCGCTCTACATCGAAGGCCCGAATGCCGAATACGCTTTGTTACAGAGACGCAACACGACCCGACCCTCCCGACCCGCCCGACAGTAAGGTAACTGATTTAACTTAACCTGGATCAGAAGCTAACCTCACTATATCCTGAATAATGTGGATTTACTCTTGTCGGTGGATATCCCATTCCTTCAATATTCTGGAAAATGCTTGAGGTGTGTTGGTCTATGGTTTGTAAGTGCAGGAAGTGTGTACGAGCTACCTGCCCTACAGCAGGGTGGAAAGTTTTGTGGTTGTAACAAATGAAATCCTAACAAAAAATCCGTTTATATCATCTGATGTTTCCGTCAATAGACAATTGTGATTACCTGTGTTAATGGACTGTACTCAACATTTGTTTTTACTAAAATTCTTCAAGTTTACCGCTGTGTGTCCTTCATATAACATTCTCTTAATAAACCATTGCCATTTCATAAAATTTTCTCAGTTATAATTTATGCACCACCAGTGTCAACAAGCAGCCATAAGACACCATCATCATTATATGTGGAAAGGCTGCAAAATTGGGTTGAAATTCCTATTTCGTGGCGATTTTGACGACCATCTTAGATTTTTGTTAAGGTGTCCTCCAAACACAAAAGCGTTGCTGCCAATCGTTTCCGTGGCAAAAAAACCTATATTAGATACCAAGACCATGTTTCTAGCACTACTTCTTAAGGAGATATACGTATCTTAATATTTTCATAAATACGCTAATTTAGGGGCAACAGAATATCTCTTGAGAGGAACTGTAGAGCAGCCTGACCTGAACTGGGCTTCACAGTTTACACCCAGACCTTTTTCACACTTCCTGGCATATAGAACAAGAAATTTTTGGATGATGTGTATAAACTCCACCCAGTGCTTAGACCATGCCAGACATAGCAGGTTTTCTCCTGTACTGGCACTGGACAATAAAGGTCAGAAAATAACAGACCAGCCGACCGAACAGCTAGAAAGCCGATACGTGATGGAAAAAAAAATGATAAATTGGAGAGAAAAAAGAGGAGACAGAACCAGAAAATGAGAAATGAGAGAGATTTCGAGAGAACGAGAAAACGAGTGTATAAAATTATAATGCTTTATGACGTCTTACCTTTCTTCTCACAAAGAAAAGCCCGACGCTGCGAACACCCCACGTCATTCCACTTGCCACCGTACGTGTACATCTCTGAACAAAAGAGAAAGAGAATATATGATAAAGATTACAAGGAAAATATTAATAAAGGAAAAATATTGGAATTTACCTTCAAATCCCGACGAATTAACAGTTCATGGCGTGTTTTGAAAAGCTGAATATATTTTCTGTTTTTGTAAGTGCATTATAGTATGTTTGTGTGTGTAGGTGCATTTATACATACCTCTAATCGTAATTTGTACTGTACATCCATTAACACAAAGACACAGGCGTCGTACTCACCTACACAGTAATCGACGTAAACACCATTGGGTTCCCCGAAGTTCCAGTTGAAGAAGCCAACAGGTGTACCGTCCAACCACCTGTTCCCATCAATGTCGTTCTTCATACCGATCCAGAGCGTAGACTGACTTAGCTGCTGCTCAGACACCAGCTCTGACATGTCAAGCAAATTGTTAAGCATAGTAAGAATTATTGTTTGAATGCACATCTTAGTTTTTTCATTAATGTTTACAAATGAAATTTCTAATAACCGAATATAATCAACATCTTGAATAATTTAATGTAAATCTGTGCACAAATACTTATAATTATAAGTTACCAATGAATTATCAAGTTGGAAATTCTGAATTATGGTATAAACTAAAATTTTAATTGCAAAAGCCAATAAATGTCTCAATTGCACAAGCTATTTTCCACAAGTTACGACTAAAATTAAATAAAAGTTTGCTTTCTCACTTAATAATAATCAAATTGATAGTCGATCCCATAAAAAAGAAATATACACCCTATGATTTTACTCATATTGGTGAAAAAAAAAGGTTTTCGTTTAACAAATCTTAACACAAATATACCAACACAACTCTGAGGAAGACTGACTCTCAATGAAATCCTGCTCCTGGGCAGTAGTGAAGGAGATTAGCTCAGGTCTCTCATCGTCGTGGTGATGGTCCAGCTCACGGCACTGGAGATGAGCGTCACGAAAAGTTAGTTCTTGAAGCTCGAAGCGGTAGCACTCCCCGCTAACTGGATTCTCCGTCCAGTCCCATCCACAGTTTGAGTCTGGTAGTGACGATTGAAAGATTACTGTAGAGCATGACTATAAAAGCATGAAAAAATTACATCAATAGTGAAGTGATACAGCAGTAAGGCGCGCAACTCTCACCAGTATGACAAGGGTTCGAGCCTCGGCCCTGACAAGTAAGAAGGGTGTTATCCAGTGTGACCCGGTCCCCGGTTTCCTCCTGTACTAACACTGGATAGACCAACCGCCAAAACGGCTAGTGAGCTGATAAGTGGTGAAGATGGACTAAAAATAATAATATATCACTTAAGAACTCACAGTCAGGCTTAGCTGTGGTGGTTGTCACAGGGTAGATGGGTGTGTCGGAAGCCTTCCTCTTGCAGATAAAGGGGCGCTCCTGTTCACACCTCACGTCGTTCCACTTGCCTGCCGAGTCTATCATCTCCACGCAGTTCTTGTCTCCTCCGCTCGGCTCACCTGTTGCATTGAGTATTATAGAAGCATCGTCTAACCTAACCTGACCTAACCTAACCTAACCTGACTTCACCTAACCTGACCTAACCTGACCTAGCCTAGCTTAACCTGACCTAACCTGTGCAACAAAAGTGTAACTTAGCCTACCCTAACCTAACCTAAGCAAACCTGACCTGACCTGACCTGACCTAACCAAACCTAACCTAACCAAACCTAACCTAGTCTATGCAACAAAACAGGGAAACCTAACCTAGTCTGGTACTAAATATTGTCTGATCATAATAATACTTGGCACATGCGTCACTCATGCCGAACGAAAAGCTTCAAATTTTTTTTTTCAGAAAACATATTTTTCATCGAATTTTTTATGGTTCTTTGCGAGACGTTCCCCTTAACATACCCACACCTAACCTAACCTACCCACACCTACCCTAACCCACTTACACCCAACCTAACCCAACCCAACCTAACCCAACCCAACCTAACCTAGCATAATTTACCCATACCTCACTTAACCTTGCTATACCTCACCTAAACTTGCTATACCTCACCTAAACTTGCTATACCTCACTTAACCTTGCTATAAGAACATAAGAACATAAGAATGGAGGAAACTGCAGCGGGCCTATTGGCCCATACTGGGCAGTCCCGTTTACACCCAACCCCTATTTCTCATATAAGCATCCAACCTATGTTTGAAGCTATTCAGCGTATTCGAGTTAATGATGATATTTGGTAACTTGTTCCATTCATCCACTACTCTGTTTTCAAACCAGTGTTTACCGATTTCACGCCTAAATCTAAATTTATCTAATTTAAAACCATTGTTACGAGTTCGCTCCTGGTTGGATAGTTTGAGTACCTTTGTAATGTCCCCTTTGTTTAGCCCTGCCTTCCACTTATACACCTCTATCAGGTCGCCCCTCGCTCTACGTCTCTCGAGGGAGTGCAAATTAAGATGCTTTAACCTGTCTCTATACTCAAGGTTCCTAATGCCCGGGATTAGTCTTGTCATTCTCCTCTGAATTCTTTCCAAGGATTCTATATCCATTCTGTAATACGGTGACCAGAACTGAACTACTTGCTATACCTCACTTAACCTTGCTATACCTCACTTAACCTTGCTACACCTCACCTAACCTTGCTATACCTCACCTAACCTTGCTATACCTCACTTAACCTTGCTACACCTCACCTAACCTTGCTACACCTCACCTAACCTTGCTACACCTCACCTAACCTTGCTACACCTCACATAACCTTGCTATACCTCACCTAACCTTGCTATACCTCACCTAACCTTGCTACACCTCACATAACCTTGCTATACCTCACCTAACCTTGCTACACCTCACCTAACACACCTTTAACCTACATATACCTCACCCAACCTTACACACTCACCTAACCTTGCCTAACCTCACATAACCTTGCTATACCTCACATAACCTTGCTATAACTAACCTCAACAACCCAACCTTACACCTCACCTAACTTGCTATACCTCACATAACCTTGCTATACCTCACCAACCTTATACCTCACCTAACTCTATACCTCACCTAACCTTGTATACCTCACCTAACCTTGCTATACCTCACCTAACCTTGCTACACCTCACCTAACCTTGCTATACCTCACCTAACCTTGCTATACCTCACCTAACCTTGCTATACCTCACCTAACCTTGCTATACCTCACCTAACCTTGCTATACCTCACCTAACCTTGCTATACCTCACCTAACTTTAAATTATAACGTAAATTTTAACATCAACCTACATTATCTATATGCATACTGATCAATGTAAACTTTTAATGGTGATTTTAATGTATGTATGTATGTATGTATGTATGTATGAATGTATGTATGTATGTATGTATGTATGTATGTATGTATGAATGTATGAATGTATGTATGAATGTATGTATGTATGAATGCATGTATGTATGTATGTATGTACGAATGTATGTATGTATGAATGTATGTATGTATTAATTTCGATGGTTTAGAACTTTAGATACAGTATTGCCAAGGTGTGCCCGGTACCTTCATTCCAGTTGGTGATGGTAACACTGGTGCCGTCACTCCACACCCATGACCCCTCTAATGCCCGATCGTTGAGGCCCAGCCACCCTCCACCTCCCTGGTGGTCTGAGGCACCGTGAGGTAAAGATGGTTTAGATAGGGAGGCAAAAAAGTAGCAGAGAGAGAGAGAGAAAGAGGGGAGGAGGGCAAGAGGTAGAGAAAGTGAGATAAAGAAAGTAAGAGAGCGAAAGAGAGAGAGAGAGAGAGAAGCCATTCAATAAACAGTGAATTGAAATATTAACAGGCGAATAATGCTTAATATAGTAATAGCAAAGGGGGGTAAATATATATTCATAATCTATCATCAATCATGTTAAGACAAAATAAATCACATTGAACATTTATCTTTACGTACTTACAATCCATTATAGACACATTCCCATCATAGCTAACAACTTGCGTGGTCATTCTTAGCGTTCACTTGGCGTCAAATGGTTTAATCATTATCGTTAAAGGGTTAAATCATCGTCGTCAAAGTGTTAAACAATCGTCGTCAAAGTGTTAAACAATCGTCGTCAAAGTGTTAAACAATCGTCGTCAAAGTGTTAAACAATCGTCGTCAAAGTTTTAAACAATCGTCATCAAAGTGTTAAACAATCGTCGTCAAAGTGTTAAACAATCGTCGTCAAAGTGTTAAACAATCGTCGTCAAAGTTTTAAACAATCGTCGTCAAAGTGTTAAACAGTCTCTTTCTCCCCACATTTACCAACTATAAAGGAAGATTAAACCTACTAAAAACGTAGTCTTGCTCGGCCCAGGTAGCCACGGAGACAAGGTGGGCCTGATGACTCTGACACTCCCTCTGGGCAGCCGTCCACGTCTTCTCCTCCTCCGAGAACATGTAACAATGGTCAAACTCGTTGCTCCATCCCTCAGGGCAATACCGTTCATCTGTGTTTACAAAACAACAACATTCTCAATCACTTCTTGTCGACTCAACCCTTAAGTATTAAACACGACTATGTTTTTTTGCAGCTTTTGTCAGTCAGTATTCGGACATTAATCAACATTCGCTATTAATTAAGAGTAAGATGTAAATCTAACACTAATACTTATATCATGTATGATATAAGTATCTAACCGTAGAGGGATTTGATAATAAAATATATCAATGTAAATATATACGAGAATAAGTTCCTATTTTAATATACCTTATCAGAGGAAACTTTACTACAGTTCTGTATTAACTTTCTTCAGCAGGGGTTGTCACAGAAATACTTATGGAGAATAAGTTCTTAATATAAGTTACTATCATGAGGTGCTGTCTTAACACGATTTACCAGGATAGCATCTCAGTGCAGCACAAGTTACTGTTGTAATTACCATCATAAGGTGCTGCCTTAACACGATTTACCAGGATAGTGTCAGTGCAGAACAAGTAACTGTCGTCGTTAATATCACGATACACCAGGATAATATTGACTATCACGAGATCTTCACTCACCAATGATGTAACAAAGATAAGGTCTTGATCCAACAGAGGTTTAGCTGTACACTCTTACGACCCTGTCGTATTTTTCTATTTTTTTTATATAACATGCTTCCATGTTCCATATTATTCCTGTAATGATGTGTTGTATTTACTATTATATAATCTAGTCACCTTACCCTGTGCTGTTAAGGTTTTAACTGTTATTAGTTCAAACCCATTTTGTATTGTAACAAGGTTTTAACTGTTATTAGTTCAAACCCATTTTGTATTGTAACAAGCATTCTTTGTTTCTCTACGACCATCTGCATCGTTAAACGACCCACCGGCGAGTCGCGTGGCGGGAGCCGACCTTATATATAGCACCCACCAACTGACGGAGTTAGTTCAGTCCTCTTGTCATACAGTTCACATCCTTTGAGTGACTCTCGTCACCTGTTACTTATACCTAATTTATTTGTGTTGTTCCTGTCGCCACCAATGTGGTATATCTATGTGAGTACCTATTTATGTCTCTATTTATGTCCATCAGTATTTGCTTCGTTACATTTAAGTAATTCAGTGTTGTTTCACGTTAGTTAATTTCAGTGTTAGTTTTTATGTTTATGCAGTGTTAACGTAATCCAATGCTTTATTTTTATTCTTTTGATGTTTCATTGTTTAGTATCATTTGTGTCTTAAAAGTTTCGATGGTGAATCGATTTGTTGTGACAGCCTACGAGCCTCTTTTTTGTGTTAATAGTTAATTAATTAAATTCTTAAAGGTTTACTTTATTTATTTTTATTCCCTTTTAATTTACTTCACTTTTTTTGTTTGGTTACGCCTAGAACCTGGATATTTAAGTAAATTAAGAGACGGCGTAACAACACTCACTAGAGGGAGAGATGAGGTGGACAGTCTCCCCTGCGGGTATCTCACAGGCGTAGTGTCGGGGCTCCTTGCAGTCGATTGGCATCCAAGAGGAGACTGGAGCATCGTGCCCTATGGCTTAGAAGAGCATGACAATCCATTTAATACGAGGTGTTAAAAACTAAAACTAATCCACTGCAGGGATAGTAACAGTTACAAGATGTGTTAACAAATAAAGAGATGATATGAGGCGGTTCAAATACGCCCAGTGAGGGACGAACCATTGATAGTGTATTTTATTTAGACACTATCGTTGCAGGGCAGTCAGGCCAAGAATTAACTACAAAGTGGTAAAAACTGCATTACTTATCACCCAACAAACAATTCGTAAATATGAAGATGTAAGTCATTAAGTTTTAGTGAGATGAAGATTAAATTATTCAACTGTGTTTTAAAAATTACTGGTAGTGAAAACAGTCAGACTTTAAGAACTTAAGTTATTTAAAGAAATCTCTCTCTCTCTCTCTCTCTCTCTCTCTCTCTCTCTCTCTCTCTCTCTCTCTCTCTCACCTTCAGTCTGGAGGAAGACGCACCGGTTATCGTCAGCATGAAGAGCAGCGTCCTCGTTTTCGTCCGAGACATGAGTGAAGTTCTTGCTGGCCATGGTGGTGTTATCCGTCCAGTAAAACTGATCCTCGGGCACACCTAAACGATACAACCTTGTCAAAGATCCTGTCATACCAACGACTCTGTTACTGTCCACCATCCTGTCATACCAACGACTCTGTTACTGTCCACCATCCTGTCATACCAACGCCTCTGTTACTGTCCACCATCCTGTCATACTAATACCTCTGTTACTGTCCACCATCCTGTCATAACGCCTCTGTTACTGTCCACCATCCTGTCATACCCGCCTCTGTTACCATCCCCATCCTGTATCAAGCACCGCACCTCTGTTACTTGTCCACCATCCTGTCATACTAACGCCTCTGTTACCGTCCACCATCCTGTCATACCTAATACCTCTCTGTTACTGTCCACCATCCTGTCTACCAACGCCTCTGTTACTGTCACCATCCTGTCATATCTGTTACTGTCCACCATCCTGTCATGCCTAACACCTCTGTTACCTATCCACCATCCTGTCATACCAACGCCTCTGTTACCTGTCCACCATCCTGTCATACTGCTGCCTCTGTTACTGTCCACCATCCTGTCATACAACGCCTCTGTTACACCACCATCCTGTCATACCAATGCCCTCTGTTACTGTCCACCATCCTGTCATACCAACGCCTCTGTTACTGTCCACCATCCTGTCATCCCAGCACTCTGTTACTGTCCACCATCCTGTCCATATGCTCTCTATCACTGTCCACCATCCTGTCATACTAATACCTCTGTTACTGTCCACCATCCTGTCATACCAACGCCTCTGTTACTGTCCACCATCCTATCATACCAACGCCTCTGTTACTGTCCACCATCCTATCATACCAACGCCTCTGTTACTGTCCACCATCCTATCATACCAACGCCTCTGTTACTGTCCACCATCCTCTGTCATATCGATAATCTCGGGATATACACACGTTAAGAAGGGCACTTCGGGGAATATACTATACAGTGACACCTCCTTCAGTTCACCATTCGCACTTCGCCGAGTTTGAAGGTGCGAATCAGCCCGGGAAGAGCTCGCAGTTCACAAACAAAAGATAAACATAACTTTGTTTAATCTACCGTCGTAGCACTACAGTATAGCAAGCTTCAGCAATGACATTCACAACTATAGTCGTTCTTTTTAGTTGATGGTACAAGCCCCGCCCCCTTGCTGTAATGCAAATAAATTCATAATTAAGTGTTAAGGAAACAAAGACACCCTGTTCTGGCTCATTTTAAACCCGTATTTAATGTACATAAAGATATAACTGCTTGGAAACATTAACTTTCAAGATATAAGTGAAACAAGCTTGAAATAAAAAATATTTACCGTCGAAGTCACAAACAAATCACACATGAATAATCGGTTGATCAAGTGAGCTTAAACAGTTTATAAAGCAGTAGTTCAGGTTAATTTAAACACTAGTCTAATATTATAGCTCTCTCTCTCTCTCTCTCTCTCTCTCTCTCTCTCTCTCTCTCTCTCTCTCTCTCTAAAAACACTGAGAGGCCTTTCAGAGGGTATATACAAATCACGTGTCACCAACTCACTGAAGAGACCAATCCAGAGTGTGTCCGTCTCCGGCATGTGGTTACGGAAGAACCTGTCCTCTGTCTCGTCGTCAAGTACCACCAGCGACGCCCCGACAGCCTCACAGGTGCTCTTGGCGTCGTCCCAGACTACCATGTCGTCAGGTTCCGTGTTGAAGTAGTAGCAGGAGTGGCCGTGGGATTCCCAGCCTGGTACACACGCCCCTGTGGGTTGAACCATCATGTTGATAATGAAGAGAGTTTATGTTCTGTGTTGACAGTAGAGAAGTGATCGATCTCCCACACACGCACATACACACGCATATAAGGGGAAAGATTTTTGTGTGTTGACAGTGTTGTGATCTCTCTTTCACACACACACACACACACACACACACACACCTAGAAAAGGTGCCGAAGAGGGCATGCACGATTATTCTCTCCTCTTCCTACTCCACATAGTGCTCAACACACTGACACTCTCGGTTCTCTCTGACACCACGACCTCATCTGCAAATTTGGTGAAAAGCTTCTGCACCATCTTTGACACCGGCTCCTACGAGATCCCTCGTCCGCGAGTTGCAATGTTCGACACCACAACCGCATCCAGCCTATACGAGCACGTACTGATCACTATAAGAACAGTCCAGTTTCAACCATTGTAAAAATTATCCACAACTCGTAATCAACCAGTGTTTTCACTCCCAGCCAATCTTACCTTTTTGCACTGTTACTTTGTTGAAATGCCCTGTAATATGACCTTCTCCCCACCTTGTTATTACATAATTATATCATATTTGTATTACTTATGTTACTTGTATTTTATTTGTCAATCAAATGGCCCATTCCTCAATTATGTACCAGTAAAAATTTTTTTTGGGGGGCACCCCCCTACATCCTTGTGTAAGGTGAAGCGCAGAAGCATGCTAAGTTCATGCTTGCTTTATGTCTGCTGAGTTAAGGGCGTAGAAGCCTGAAGAGTCAATAGTTTTATGTCTAAGCAAGTTATTGGAAGCTCCAACAACTTGCCCCTGAATACGAATTCACAACTTTTGATTTACAGCAGGTACCTACATTGCTGCTAGGTGAACCGGGACCAGGGGGACTAGGAAGAGTGTCCAAACAACTTCCGCTGGCCCGGGAATCGAACCCGTGGCAGCTTGTTTGCTTGCGAGGCAAGAGCGGTACCGCTCCACCAGCGCCCCCCAATTGTGTAACGATAATTTTCATCCTTCCGGCTGCAATGCTCTTTTAATAAACCGTTAATTATTATTATTATTATTATTATTATTATTATTATTATTATTATTAACACACACACACAGTATTATACCTCGATATAACTTTTGCTGATATGCTTTTTGTAGGTTATGTATCTAAGTTACTGTGCCGAGTAGCAACCTTGTATATAAGCTACTGTGCCGAGTAGCACCTATGTATATAATTACGTGGCAACACTGTACGTGTTATGTGGCAACATTGCCCCGAGGCTGCCATATGGCAAGGCAGTCTCAGTCTGACTGTGTGAGCCGTGCGTGGCACACGCTAGTCACCACTTGTATTTCTCTCATCCATAATAAACGGACTTCAGTGTTACCCGGTGTTTCCCTACCCATCACTGCATCCTTCAGGGAACACTTGTAACCTTCATGGCGCAGTGACTAGGATCTGTGGACTTACAAGTGTGTGAAGAATGCCGACGGTTACATCTGCCGGCGATATGCGCGTCGACTCATAGTGTGTTGTGTTGTGTTGCACTGTGTTTTGCTGCAACGTGCAGTGTTGCTCCTTCACAGTGCATTTTAGTGACGGTGGCAGTATTAGTGTCAGTGTATTAGTGTGTGTCTAGAGCTGAGAGTTGAGCATTGGCCTGTTTTTTGTGGTACCCACGGAGCACGCAGGCGTACACCCTTCTCGTGTGACATCCCGGGAGACACTGACGGTCTCACCCCCGCCGCGTCTCTAGCCACCGGCATTAAGGCCACCACGAAGTGCATCTGCTGTCTCAGACACACACACACACACGCACGCACGCACTCACTCACAGACAGAACAGTGGACTCTATGCGTTATTTCTGCGCTGTTTATGTCATATATATGTGGTTCGAGCTGTTGAGGCGCCACTTTATATACTAAACAGTGCAGTCCACGCACACACTAAGATGGGCGGTAAGAAGGGACAACGTCAAGATGGGAGACACGACTCCCCACCACCTTCCCCTCCACCGGGCGCAGACTCTCATCCTCCACCTCCAGTGACGGACATTGCCACAATTCTGAGGTGGATGGACGACCGGGACGAGAGACGCAGAGAGATGGAACTTCAGAGGGAGGAGACACGAAGAGAGGAGGAAAAGTTGCGTTTTGAGGCACTATTGGCGACCCTGGCGCTAACCCACCCTCCCTCACTCGCAGGTAGCGCGCATCAAGGCGCCAATATCCTCCCTCCTCCACCACACCAGCGTCCTCCAGGTACTCTTGCCTCCAAACAAACAGCTCCCAAGGCATCTGTTCAACCCCCACCCGCCCTCTCACCAGACGTCACGTTTCAGCTTTTTCGTGAGTGGAGGCGGCGTTGGACAGATTACTCCACGATGGTGGACCTTGACAACATGCCTCCAAACAAACAGCTCATCCAACTGCGGATGTGTTTGTCACTGGAGACCCAGAGAGTTTTGGAGCACACGTTGCAAGTGCCTCCCGATTCTACATCTTCAGTGACGGATGTGCTCGACTTTTTACAGGAGCACGTTAAAGGTCGGAATAAAGAGGCTCCTTCACCAGCTGCAAGCAGGCGGAGAACGAATCCTTTGACGACTTTTTTGTACGCTTGAAGAGTTTGTCAGTGGAGATCGACGTCTGCAAGGCGCACAGCCGGGAATGTGAGGAAGCCTGGATCAAGCACGGGATCTTGACAGGTGTCAGGCACGAAGAGTTGGTGCAGCGACTCATCCCCCTGGACGCTTCCTCCACACTCCAGGTGGTAGTGACTGAATGTCGGTCGTACGAGGCCACCAAGTCCGCCACCTCTGCCATACGGGCCCCACCTGCTGTGAGAGCTATCTCACAATACAAGAAGGATAAGAAGGCGGGCAACAACGTGAAGGCTGCCGCACGTTCTTCCACGCCTCCGCCTAGTGCTTCCTGTGGCAGCTGTGGAAAGCAGCACAGCCCCAAGACATGCCCGGCCGCCGACGCACTGTGTCGTGGATGTGACCGTAAGGGCCACTGGTCTAACACAGACAGGTGCCCTGCACGAGGCCGCAAGTGTCAGGCCTGCGGTCGTTATGGACACTACGACAAGTGCTGCCGCCAACCCAAGCCCAAAAGCCCGAGACGAGGAGGAAAGCAGCGCACTTTCCTCGGGGTGGTTCGCACACATCCCCCTTCAGATGGCCTACACAGCCCCAAGCAGCAGCTGAGTCACATCAGGAGGGTGGAATCGACCACACGCCCCAGGGCTACCCCTTCCCCTACCATCCGCGTCGCCGTCACACACGGTGATGTGTCGGGTCACATCGAGGTGATACCGGACACCGGCACTGATACTACGGTGATTGGGTTGAAGCACCTCCAGAAACTGGGCCTCACCAAACGCGGCCTGGGACCACCGCCGCAGCTGCAGTACTACAATGCGGACGGTTCCCAGATGCCAGACGCTGTGGGCTCCTTTCAAGCAGAGATCACCTATGGCGACAGGTCGTGTCATGGATGGATCGACGTGCAGCCTACTCTCGCTACACCCTTGTTGTCGTGGGAGCACTGCAAGGAGTTAGGCGTGGTGCCCAGAGACTTTCCCGAGCAGATCCCAGTTGCTCGGTACACCGCCAGCAGGGTGCGTGAATCAACGAGCGACGCGCCTGGCGCTGCCGCACAGAGCTGCCCAGAACCCGCGTCCACTCCCACCCACACAGGACGCTCCCCTGCCCAGATCCTGTATGGTCACCCTCTCCGCTCTTGCGTTCCTACACACGCCAAGGCCTTTGCGAAGGACTGGCAGACCAAAGCCGAGAGCTGTGACCGCCGCGCCGCTTCACGTGCCCAGGACGCCAAGGCTCGGTATGACGACCGTGCCCGCCCTCTTCAGCCAGTGGAGATTGGTGCCCTTGTCCGCGTCCAGGACCCGACGACGACACGTTGGGACAAGGTGGGCATAGTGATGGGCGTCGGCCGGTCGCGGGACTACAAGGTCAGGATGCCGAGCGGCCGTGTCTGGTGGAGGAACCACCGCTTCCTCCGGCCAGTCCCACCCCCTGCTGCTGGCCCCCTGACCGAGGACGAGTCCCCTACACCTCACGAGGCTCCGCCCCACAGTGCACCTCGACGCTCGGAGCGACTTAGGACTAAGAAGTCCGCTCAAGACAAAGACTATGAGCGTGAGGGGGGAGGGAGATGTAGGTTATGTATCTAAGCTACTGTGCCGAGTAGCAACCTTGTATATAAGCTACTGTGCCGAGTAGCACCTATGTATGTAATTACGTGGCAACACTGCACGTGTTATGTGGCAACATTGCCCCGAGGCTGCCATATGGCAAGGCAGTCTCAGTCTGACTGTGTGAGCCGTGCATGGCACACGCTAGTCACCACTTGTATTTCTCTCATCCATAATAAACGGACTTCAGTGTTACCCGGTGTTTCCCTACCCATCACTGCATCCTTCAGGGAACACTTGTAACCTTCACTTTTACTTTAATTTTATCCTCTTTACCATTCATCGGCTCGTTAGCCGCTTGGGCGATCGGTCACGTCTCTGTTACGCACTGTTGGCAGATACTGGGCATACCCAGGCTCCTGAATATATCGGAACCTGTTCCAGTGTTGATCAAGACTGGCCTTAAATGAGCTGACACTCGGTGCCGTCACAACACTCTCTGGCATATTGTTCCCTAGAGTTTACAATTCGCAATCCGAAAAAGATTGCCTCGCAGTTTTCTGGACTTGTGGCTTCTTCATATTTGAGCTGTGACCCCTTGTGAGACGCGCATCCGCCAGCTCCAGTATGCATGTACATTCGACCAAGTAGTGTCCTCTTGAGATGTTTATACACTTCGATTAAGTCGTCCCTCGCCCGTCTGTAGTATAAGCTAGGCAGTTGCAAGCGTTCTAATCTTTCTGGGTAGCTGAGGTTTCGTAGAGCAGGCACCAGTCTGGTGGCCCTCTTTTGAACATTTTCAATCAATTGACAGTCTCTAGCATGCCTTGGGGACCAGATGGGGAAGCACCTCACTCTTAAAGATCGTGACGAGCGATGGACTATCCAGTTATCTGAACATTATTGGAACATGACACTATATCGTCCCTGTAAGAATAATTATCAGGTGTGACCTACGAACCCCCAAAACATAACGTGATATAGGGTGAGCAGAGTATTGTGTGTATATGAAAAAGTATCGTTATATCGAGAGTCTGTTATGTGAAACTCCCTCATCCAACAGATTAGATCATTAGATGGAGTTAAGAGTCCGCTATATGGAGGTTGCACTGTACATAATATATACATTTATATACACTGTAAATTATATATACATTTTTATTCATACAAACAGTATACTTATCATACGTTTATGGTAACTCACCTCTACTCTTCTTACAGATGTATGGGAACTGCTGAGTGACCTTCTCCACCACCCAGCTGCCACTCACCTTGTCAATGTCCACCACGGCGGCACCATACCCGTTCAGCGACCTGTTAACGGTAAAAACTCTCTCCGTACCGTTTACAATCCTCATAATGTCTCCTGTTGTAGTCCCAGATCTGACTTATTGAATACTAAGAAATTATTGGACTTTCTTCAGGTGAATTATTGCTTTTATTTATTGAATACTGTATTATATGGATGATCCGAAAATTGATAACAACTGAAAACTTATTAAATCAACGCCTGCTTAAATCAACAACTGTTTAAATCAACA